AGTTTTTCTCCTATCAGAAATAAGGCAGTTAAAATTGCTGAGTGATTTTCAAACCTTTTGTTATTAACATTTCAGAACCCACATGAAAATTTAGAGAAGCCCAATGGGTACACACTTAAAGATGAAACTGCTCTGGCTGGAGCTGGTATGGGTGCCTGGAGCCATCTCTTCTCATGAGGTGGCCCTTGGTGGGGGTACAGGGAACCCCAGACTCCATGAGGTTCAGTATAAAAGTTCCTTGGCAGGATAATCCTTGAAGTCACTTCCATTTCTGTTGGACTACAAGTCGAGGACCCTAATAAAATTAGTTGTTAAAAATGTTGCCAATTATGACATTTTGTTGGACTTTAGCCTGGGAATCATGGAGACACCAATATCCAATGATAACACGATTAGTTATTTTTTATGCTTCTTTTGTTCTGTGACAGAAGATCTTTCATAAGTATTAGGAAAGTTTCACAATATATCACCTGGTATAATTACACCAGCAATTAAAAAGGTTTGAGTTTTTCCTACTGAAACTATTGAAATATTATTCTGAACATTATACTAAGCCTCTTGCTTTACCAAGTTCTAAATCACAAATGTGATTATCTCAGGGTGAATTCAAACTTTAGCTTATCCCAGGACTCTTAACCCTGATGACAACTAGGATAGCACTGGTCCAGTGACCATTGTTTGGGAACCATTAACCTATCCTACCAAACCAAACCTGTTGATTTTTTTTTTTTTTTTTTGAGACAGAGTCTTGCTTTGTTGCCCAGGCTAGAGTGAGTGCCGTGGTGTCAGCCTAGCTCACAGCAACCTCAATCTCCTGGGCTCAAGCAATCCTCCTGCCTCAGCCTCCCGAGTAGCTGGGACTACAGGCATGCGCCACCACGCCCGGCTAATTTTTTCTATATATATTAGTTGGCCAATTAATTTCTTTCTATTTATAGTAGAGACAGGGGTCTCACTCTTGCTCAGGCTGGTTTCGAACTCCTGACCTTGAGCAATCCGCCCGCCTCGCCTCCCAAAGAACTAGGATTACAGGCGTGAGCCACCGCGCCCGGCCAAAACCTGTTGATTTTCTATATAAACCCTGGAATCTCCACACCAGCTTTCTCCTAAATGAATGAACAAACAAAAAGTGCTTTCTTAAATCTCATTTAAATTTGCAAGGAGAATGAATACATGTGTATGCATGAGAAGCTTAGTATTAATCCACACTATATTTTGTTATCACCTTAGCAAAGAAACAGGAACAAAACCCACATCACTTACTTGGTATCCTCTCAGTTAAGCTGAGTTTATTTTCATACTGATCCAGGTTCTGCAAGCTTTCTGGAAACCCTGATAATCAGAGTAAGTAGGTGTCTTAGTCAGTCCGGGAAGCTGTCACAACATACCATAGATTGGGTAGCTAAACAACAAACATTTATTTCTCACAGTTCTGAAAGCTGGGAAGTTGACAATCAAGATGCAGGCATATTAGGTATGTGGTGACAGCACTCTTCCTGGTTTGCAGATGGGCAACTCCTTGCTATATAGCCTCACATGGTGAAGAGGGAGACCATTTCTTTTCTGTCTCTTCTTATAAGGACACTAATCCCATTTATTAGGGCTCCACCCTCATGACCTAATTATCTCCCAAAGCCCCTTCTCCAAATAACATCACACTGGGGATCAGGGCTTCAGCATATGCATTTTGGGAGCATAAACATACAGCCCTGTTTCCTGAAAGGTCATATATGCAAAGGAAACCCCAAATGTAGAAGGAGCTGAGAAACCAAAAAACAAGGCAGACAAATCCAGTTTCATTATAGAGGGTGATTTATTGGGGAACTTACAGGCTGAAGCATGGTCTTGGGCAGCACCCAGACAAATAGATTCTGTACCCACACCCAGGGCTAATATACTGTAGGAAAAGGTGGACCTGCCCTACAGAGAATGTGCAGGACAATTAAAGTTGACCTTCCAGGAAATACAAGAATGCTATGTACAACACGACACAGTAAGACCTGTCTCTAAAAAAAAATAAAAAATAAATTAAAAAAAAAAAGCAGTAGCTTACCTTATTGGTCAATAAGTATGTGAAAGGTCAACTACCTCAAAATGAAAACTGTTGCTTTTGATGTATCCTGTCAAATGTAACAGGGCCTGATGAACTCCAAGGTTCTCTTTAGCTTTAATAGTCTATGATTCAGTAACCATACAAAATGGCTCCATTTATTTTATTTAATAATTTTGAGTTTATATTTCACATATAACTCATCTGGGAGGACCCCTTTAGATATGGTCCCATGCAAAAGAAAATGTCCTCAGGAAATATATAAGGTATAATATAATTGTAAACTGTCTAGAAAGCAGAAACAAAAGTATATATGAAATGTGTGACAATGTTAAAATTCACAGAATACAGGGATAGAGAATTAAGAAACTTACCCAAATAAGTTTGCCACTAGAATGTGGCATTTCAAATCAGTAAAGAAAAGATGAATTTTTGATAAATGATATCGAAACATCTAGCTACCTGTTTAGGAAAAAAGGAGGACCCATGTGCATTTTTTAAAAATTCTATATAGGTCAAAGATTAAAATGTAAAAAATAAATCACAAAGTATTAGAAGAAAATACAAGTGATTTTAAAATATATAATCTTGGATTAAGAAGATATGTTTGCTTAAACAAGATACCAAAATCCAGTATTCATACAGAAAAAGACAGATTATTAACTACATGTAAACTGAAAACACTGTGGGCAAAAGTAATAAAACCAAAAGATAAAAGATCAAATATAAACATATATTTGCATCATGTTTGACAAAGGTCTAATTCATATATTATATATTAGGGATAATTTAATATGTATTTACTATATAAAGACAGGGCTAATTTATTCATCATATAAAGAGTTCTTCCAAATAAAAAAGAAAAACCAAAAAAAAATGGACAAAGGACAAAGGATACATCACAGGCAGCACTCTGACAAAGAAATACAAATGACTCACAAATATAAACAATGACACTCATTTCAAATAATAGAAGTTAAAACAATGAGGTAACATTTGTAACCTATCAACTTGGCCAAAATCCAAAGTTGAATGATGGCCAACTTCTTTGCAAGGCAGTTTTGCAGTAACTCTCAAAATTTAAAACTGCCTTTTGACCCATCAATTCTATGGCTGGGGATTTCTCTTATAGATGAACTCATACATATATAAAGAATAGATATTTCAAGGTGTTCATTTTAGCATTTTAAATAACAAAGAAAGGAGTCTAAAAATAATCTAAATGTTTATCAAAAGGAGGTGGTCAAGTAAATAATGGTATAGCCATGAAACGGAATACAGTGAAGCCAATACAAAGAATGAGGGAGATAGGTGCTGCTTTGGAAGGATATCTATAGCACATAGGTGGGAAAAAGAACAGACAATGAATATATTATGCTCTTATTTCTTCACAACACTAGATTTCTTAAAGTGTAAGCAAGTGGCTGGCACACTGAAAGAACAGGACTTTAAGGGTGTGATCATCAACTTGATTTTTGGCTCCACTGTCCCTTTAAGTCTGCTGCCCGGTGGGCTGTTTCTGTTCTGTCCCTGGAGCTTTCTGCTGACTTATAGGTAATAAAAGTTTGACAGTCACTTTAGGTTGCAAACCTAATCTCAGTTTGCATCCAGCCCCAGATATTAATCAAAACTCCCAGCTTGACTGAATGTCAAATCTGATTCCCTCCCCAGCCAGGCCTGCTGTGGGTGCCACTTGCAGCTGTCTTTCTTTTCTCTTTCCTTGCCTCTTACTTCCACCCCTCATTTTCCATCCTGCTATTATGATTTCTGAACCAGCTGTAGTCAAAGGGAGAGGACAGAGAGGAGTGGCAATAAGAGCAGGATATTTTTCACCTAACTGATACCGTGCAAGAGGGCTTCAGGCCTCCAGGGCCTGGTGATGTTTTAAGCTGCACCCTTTCCCTCGTAGGAGTATTTGTGGGTTCCCTAGAATCACCCTTTCCCCAGTGCACACTGAAAGCCATCAGCTGCAGTGCACTTTCCTCCAGCCACTGCTCTGGCAGCCCCTCCAAACAGCAGACTTTCTCTGTTGGGGTCCTACTGTACTGTCCTTCTGCGGGTGGGATTCAAGATGGATCCAGGCCATTTTTATTTCCCACGAGGCTCACGTCTGGTATGTGGGAATCGGCACACCAGAGGCTCACAGCCTGAGAGAAGGCTGGTGGGGCTAACGTGTTGTAAGAGAACTGGGAGACAGACAGGGCCACAGGGGAGCCAGTTCCATAAGGGGAGACTGGGGAGCAGGCAGGGGCAAGCACTCAAGACGTGCAATGCCTTGAGAGCCTGAGCCTTCGAGTCTGGAGTGCAATTCCATCCTACCAAGTTCATGGAGCATCCTCAGCAAACATTTGTTGAGGTTTTTGTTTTCATTTTTCACTTAGTTCTTGTACTGAGAACTGTATAGTCCAGCTGGGCACACGGACATACACACCAATGCATGACGATACAGCGTGAAGGTGTGAAAAGAAATGAATGCACCAGAGCAAAGGAGTCAGCTAGTCCCAGCTGGAGGAGAAGTGGAAAGGGCTGGGAGAAGGTGTCATCTAAAGGTACCCGGTAAAGAGTAGCTGTTGGTAGGATCCACTGAGATGGAAGTGCTGTCTGGTTAAATGGCCAAGAACAAGCAGGCCAGAGGTGGTGTGAGCACAGACAGAGGTGAGGGCAAGAAGGAGACAGGTCCTGGATGGGGGACCTGGGGCTGGAGGCTGATAGCAGGAGGCAGAGCCAAAGCATCACCACCTTCCCTTCTTGAGGACTGGGTCCCTTTAAGGTGGGACTAGATGAAAAGGATCCTTCCCTGGCCATCTCCATAGCAGCTGTTTTCTGACAGGTAAGAGTGGACATTGCTCAAATCTGGGCTTCATTGCCAAGAAGTTTCACAAGGCAGAATTGCCAGGGGAAGTCCCTGGTAGCTCCTGGATTTCTTCTTGCTTCCTTCCTGTGGGACAGGCTGTCGAAACCTCAGGGCATAAAAGGCCCAGAGCATGCACACCCTGGGGAAAGCTGGCCAGGGACACGGGAGCAACCATCATGGACCAGAAGTCTCTCTGGGCAGGTGGGTATGGGGCTAATTCAGCATGTAAGTTGGTGAGGAGGGAAGGGGGAATGCAGACCTGTGGAAGGAGTGCTCTGGCTCCTTTGCTGGGACTTCAGTCTCTCCCATCCAAGTACTAACACCAGGCCCAACCCTGCTTAGCAGGTTTCAGTCACTCTATTCACCTCAGTGTCAAAAAATATCAAGCTGATGCAACTGTCCTAGAGGAACCATCTGTTCTTTCCTGAACGGGCAATAAAGCAGCAGTTGCAGAGTCTGCATGTGGGACGTTTCAGCTGCACAGAGTGTGTTACCGTGTTAGAACTGGAGCTCTGGCCGGGCGCGGTGGCTCACGCCTGTAATCCTAGCACCTTGGGAGGCCGAGGCGGGCGGATTGCTCGAGGTCAGGAGTTCAAACCAGCCTGAGCAAGAGCGAGACCCTGTTCTACTAAAAATAGGAATTATTGACCAGCTAAAAAGAAAAAAAAAATATATATATATACAAAAAATTAGCGGGCATGGTGGCACATGCCTGTAAGTCCAGCTACCAGGGAGCTGAGGCAGGAGGATCGCTTGAGCCCAGGAGTTTGAGGTTGCTGTGAGCTAGGCTGATGCCACGGCACTCACCGTAGCCTGGGCAACAAAGTGAGACTCTGTCTCAAAAAAAAAAAAAAGAACTAGAGCTCAAGTCAGGACGGAGACCAGGCTTTCTTAGTCTCTTGATGTACCAGCAATGTATTGAGAGTCACATCTTTTGTAGGCTATGCTTGGGGTACATTTTAGAACTTTTGGGGAGCCCACATTTCTCATCTGCAGAATAGTGTATTGGATTAAATGTTTTCTAAACTCCCCCTTTCAACTCTAATGTTCTGATCTCAAACTCTGGCTTTTGTGGTAGCTGGGAATTTGGATGAGGGTGGGAAAGAGACAAACTGAACAGGGCGTTGGGTGAGCAAGGGAAGTTTGCCAGGAGGCGAGGAGGGACGTCTGATGGAGGAAAGAGGCCATTTTGTTGTGTCTGTCTGTACCTCTTTCGATCTGTCTTATACTCTCGAGCCACGAGCAGCCCATTGACAAGAGCCTTTTAAGTTGCCTGTTGAAGTTCTCAGCCCTGGGCCCCCAGGAGGGTAGCCATGGAGACCCAGCACTTTGGAGAAAGGCCTGGAGGCTGACTTGACAGTACATGTAGCAACCAGAATTTCTCTGACCACTTAGTGAGTGTGTGGAGGACCAGATTCCTGCCTCCCCTGCCTTCTGCCTAAAAACATGCGAATCAGCCAGAGAGAACACCAGAGCCCTGCTTCCCAGCCCTGAGCTCTGCAGGCCAGGCACCAGCGCCTACAGCTGCATCATCCAAAGCTTTCTTTCCTTTGTAACTGCCCTTTTCTCCATTCCCAGGCTCCCAAGGGCTCTAGTGAGGACGATGTTCCCAGGCTGGGGGATCACAGTTCAAGGAGTTTTGTCCACTGAATGAAATTTCTGGGACTCATGGTCTTTCCTTCCCTTTAGAAGGATGACTTAAGGATAGAATAATCTCACCAGTCCTCCTAGGGGAAGTGTCCTGTGGAGAAGACGCTAGGAATGACCTCAGTGGAGGCTTAGAGTGCTGCCAGAGCCAGATGGTGCTTCTCCACCCAACCTTGCCTTGTTTTAAGAGTTAGTTGCTTATAAATAGGGTGACCTTTCATTTCAATTTGCCCAGGACAGGTCTGGTCCAAGATATTATCCCAGGGAAATTATTAATAATACTCCTTTTCACTCTCCTAAGGGTCTTATTGGACAATAAACTATATGGTCACCCTACCTATATTCAACTCCAGGCTAGACCCTGAGCTCACTGCGTACAGGGAAGTCATCAGCTTCCTTTTGGTTTTCTAAGTATCTTGGACAATGCTTGTTACAGAGCAGGTGATTTAATAAAACCGTTGCATAAATGAATGAGAAGATGAATTCCCAGTTTGGAAACCATGTTTGCCTAGGGCTATAGGGACCCCAAGGCACTCAAGGGCTGGGAACCTCAAGGCCTGTAAGGGGACTACAGCAGCTATGGGTAGACAGCCCGGAAGAAGTGTGGCTTCATCTTGTAAATAGGAACACCCACAAGCTCACTGCCATCATCTGGAACAGAGGAACCAGGCTTGGCACAACAGATTTCTCTTTCCACCCATTTGTTACAGGTTTAGCAGTCTTGCTGATTCTCCAAGGAGGTAAGCAGTCAATGTGTCTCTACTGCCTGTGTCTCTGGGCTGGGTCTTTGCATTTCTGATGTTCGGGTTTCTGTCTCTCTTACATGCATATGCTCTTGATTACTCTCTCAGTTTCTGCCACTGACATAGTTATGACTCTGAGTTTTTGTTCTGTGCATCTCTTTGTGCATCCTTTGTTCTGACTCTGTCTTCTTGAGCCTGTTTCTCTCATTCCAGACCTCAATGTGTGTGTGCATGTGTGTGTGCATATATATACACATACAGAACACTTGTATCTTCTGTTTCTCTACCGATCTGTGTCATCCATCCATCCGCACACATTGAATCTCAGTGCTCTGTGGGTGTGCCACGTGTTGATGGTGTTTGTGTCTCAGTGGATTTCCTAACTGAGGTGTGAGTACTCAAGAGTCAGGACTAAGAGCCCAGGCTGAAGGACCCTCAGAGGCTCTGACTGAATGAGCAAAGAATGCAGTATCTATCTTGGGGAGAAACTTGCTCTGGGGGCTCTAAGGCAACAGCAGAAGGATCTCATGGGCTCTGTTCACTCCAGGATCTGCCTACAAACTGGTTTGCTACTTTACGAGCTGGTCCCAGGACCGGCAGGAACCAGGAAAGTTCACCCCTGAGAATATTGACCCCTTCCTGTGCTCTCACCTCATCTACTCATTTGCCAGCATCAGTAACAACAAGATCGTCATCAAAGACAAGAATGGCGCGATGCTCTACCAGACCATCAGCAGTCTCAAAGCCAAGTAAGTAGGACAGGGGTGGAAGCACCCTGGTGGGCACTGGGGAGGGAAGTTAGTCTGAACCGGGCCTAAGACCTACTGTCTCATTCAGTCGTTCAATCATACGTACTTTTTTGGGTATAATTCTGATCCTAACTGTTCTTCTCACCAGTGCCTCATCCCTGCACTGAACTTAGCCTCTAAGCAGCCAGGCCCTGCTTGTCCATATTCCTCACATCAGTAATTCTATCCATTAGGCAAAGGTTTCCCTGGCAGCCAGAAAAGAAATAATCAGCTTATTCTTCTACTCCAGGAATCCCAAACTGAAAGTTCTCTTGTCCATTGGAGGGTACCTGTTTGGTTCCAAAGGGTAAGACCACATCTCTATTTTTTTGTTATGTGATTTCTGATCATTGCCACTTTTCCTCCTCCTGAAAAGAGATATTGAACTAGACATTGAGAGGTCTTTCATTGGCCAGGTAGCAAAACTGATCTGAGTTTGTCACAAGTAGGAGCACAGCACTAGGTTTTCTGATGTCTTTGAAGGAAGCCTTTAGGAGTTTAACACAAGCCCAGACACTTAAGGCCTGCAAGAAACTGAGCCATGAGCAATATTCAGTAAACTCTCATTATTTACATGAATACTTTTCACTTTATGGATTATAGGGAGATGATTTTGTTTCAGAAGTGCAATTGTTTTAATCACTTGAGGGTCTGACTTTGAACCATGAGGTGGGTTGTGTGGGTTATTTCTACTTAAAAACCCAGCCTTGGCCTGCAACAATCAGTGGACTGCAATGCCCTGGGCCATGGCTGTGCAGGCGGATGGCCTGAGAACAAGAACAGCAGAGGACACATCTGCTCTGCTTAGAAACAAAATAGCTATTGATACAAAGCATACATTATAAATTGTGTTTTCTATTCACACTAAAATGATATTCTATTTACATCAAGAGCTAAATAAATACAAATATGTAAGGATGAAAGACACATTTTTCAATCTTTACGGTTAATCTAATTTTGAATTTCTTGTGGTTTAAAGTGCTAATGCTTTTAAAAGTTCAGAGATCTTAAGCCCAGCCAGCAGAGTCTTTCAGTTTTCATGGAAGTCTGATAGTACAAGTTACTCATTGCAGCTTGTCAATACTCAGTTACAGCTGGGGTAGTCATAGAAAGAAGTAGGTGCGAGGGACCTATGCAGATTTCTGCAGTAGATCAGGCTACCTAACTTACTTTGTTCTATGTTAAGCTCATCATGAACAATTATGAATGGGTTTCCATGGCAACTATGCTTCGAATTCTCAAATTCTCTCTCCTTCATAACACTTGCTTAGGTTTTCATTCAATTAAGAATGTCTTCATTCAGTCATTCTTACATGCATGCATTCATTCATTCAATTCAATAATTTATTGAGTGCCTATCATGTACCAGTTTAGAGGTTAAAAGTGGGGCTTTGGAGATAGACACATTTGGTTTGGATTTCCCTTTAGACATATACAAGCTATGTGACTTCAGGAAAGTCATTTAACGAGTTGGAGGGTTTTTTTAAAACTACACAGTGAGAATAGTAATAGAATCTACCTCAGAGTGAGGTTGTAAGAACAGATTATGTATGCAAACTGCTTAGCACATATAGCCGAGGTGCAATAAGGGCTCAGTGGTTACAATAATCACTGTTACATTATTATTGTTATTATTAGTATGCCAGGCTTCGTGCCCTGCTGTGTAGAATACTGAAATATGTTCGACGCACAGACTTGCTTCTAAGGAGCAAATTAGTACATTTCCTAAAATCAGAGGCATCTGCCCAGAGGCTCAGGTGCAATGGTTCTCTCATTATTGTAAGCACTTTGAAATGCAAGAGAAAAGCTAAAGATCTGTTTCTACCATTTTTCTGTTTCTACCATGGTTTTCTGATACTGGGCTAGTTTCTTGCTACCTGCTACACTGTGTAGCTGACATACATACAGAAACCAAAATCTCAATTTAACACATTGACTGCTACAAAAACAAAAGAGAAAGAAAGAAGAAAGAAAGAAAGAGAGAGAGAAAGAAATTTTGCCTGGGGCCACAGTGTTTTATTACGATAATAGAATAAAAACTTCAAAATGATTCTAAAATATGCATCAATAAAAAAGTAGTATAAAAGCTTGAAAATTAGTAATGTAAAAAGTAACGTGAAAACTTGAAAAATAGTTCATAACTCATGTGGTAGTTAATGTGTTAATACTGACTGAAACAAAATTAATTCAAGACTCTAAGTATGTCTGGGGGTGGGAGGTGTTGTGAGAGGTAGGAAGTGACACAACTCAAAGGATATATCCCCAGGAAAATACCAATATCTGATCTACAGCTTCAAATTTTAAATGCAATTGGTGCCCTCCATATAAGCAGCTGAGAATCAACTTCATGGCTTAAGAATTCTAGTTCAGGTGAAAGCCCCAGGAGCTGCTCATAGCAACCTCAAACTCCTGGGCTCAAGCAATCCTTCTGCCTCAGCCTCCTGAGTAGCGAGGACTACAGGCATGCGCCACCATGCCCAGCTAATTTTTTCTATATGTATTAGTTGGCCAATTAATTTCTTTCTATTTATAGTAGAGCCAGGGTCTCGCTCTTGCTCAGGCTGGTTTTGAACACCTGACCTTGAGCAATCTGCCTGCCTCGGCCTCCCAGAGTGCTAGGATTATAGGCGTGAGCCACTGCGCCCAGCCATAAACCCAGATCTCTTAGGATTCACTAAGCCACCACATTGCAAACTATTTCCCAAGGTTGTAAAGTGTTAAAGAAATCCAAAGCTGAACAATACTGAAATCAGTAAAAGCATATTTTATTCAGAAACTATTTCAGTAGGGGAAAAGACACCTCAGTATAGTACTGGGTTCAATTCTGAATACAGCAAAGGCAAGTGGGGACATACAGCCAGTAAGCAGGTTGGGGAGTGGGGGGATGGAAAGTTACTAAGGGGAAACATTATGGCAAGGGGGGTTCTTGTTAAGCTGACTCAACAGGATTCTTGCTAAAGGCTGGCCAGAGTGATCAGATATCTCCTGGGTGAAGGGGAATGAGAAATTTTGTAAGATACGGAGGGTGATCAGTTATCAAGGGTTGGGGATTCTTGCTAAACTGATGGCTGGATTCTTATGAAAACTAGACTTTGCAAAGATGCACCCAGAAGCCCAAGGTCAAGGTCTAATTGAGAAGAGGGCTCAGGAAAGCCTGTCTAAAGTTTGGTCAAGGCAAGAGTCCATGTCAAAGGCGGCTCCATTGCACTGCGGGAAGACTGCAGAGACCCCAATCTTCTTTTACCTGACCTGATCAATTTTCTGGCCCAACGATCCTTCTTCCCATCTGTTTCAAAAGGGGCAGAGGTTGGGATATTAATAGGCAGTGAGTGAATATTAGGGAGGATTACTTCAAGATTTCTGTGAAAAATGTGTTATGGGTATTGCTTGTTCTTTCCAACAAACACTTTTAAATTGCTTCTCCCTAGGTTCCACCCTATGGTTGATTCTTCGACATCACGTTTGGAATTTATTAATTCTGTACTCCTGTTTCTGAGGAACCATAACTTTGATGGCCTGGATATAAGCTGGATCTACCCAGATCAGAAAGACAACACCCATTACACTGCACTGATCCATGTAAGCCAGACGCCACGGTATACCCAGTGTCTGTACCAGGCAGAATGCATGACTGCACCAGAACAGAAAAGGAAGAGATTGAGTCTGCTTGGAAGACACAGGCCCTGCCCTTCAGAAGCCCCCACTGATGGGGGAACAGCCCCTGTTCCTAACGTAGGGCAGGAACAACATCAAGCAATGGAGTCCCCTTACACAGTGAACACCACCAGAATAAAGCAACAGTCATACAAAAGAGTATGGGGCCATAGAATTTCCTGAGCCCTGAGATTGTCTCATAGATCAGATCGATCAGAAAATCTATCAGGCGGAAACCCAGATAGTTCTTTCCCGAGTACAGTGAGGCTGGGGTCCCCCTGCCTAGTGTGGACGCTTCCTAAGCAGATACAGGCGTGAAGCATGCCCATGTGGAATGGGGAGGAAAGGGTTGATCTCTACCATCTAATGTGGTTCTAGAAACTTCATAGATTTCAGACAAAAAGCTTAGCACTGTACTCTGGGAAGGGGAATCTGACACCTTGTTTCCTTGTTTTTCATAGGAGTTAGCAGAAGCCTTTCAGAAGGACGTAGTAAAATCCACCAAAGAAAGGCTTCTCTTGACTGCAGGCGTATCTGCAGGGAGGCAAAGGATTGATAAAAGCTACCAGGTCAAGCAACTGGCACAGTGAGTACTAAGAGCACCTCCTCCATCCCTCTGCCTCCAACCTGGTCCATGCAAATGATACGTGTCAGTATGTTTGTGTGACGAAGTGTGGTGGGAGAGAGGAAAGGCCATTGTCATATCCCTGCATCATTCAGCCAGGAACAACTTCTTCACGGATGTTTAATCCTCTTAACAGTATTCAAAGCTCAAAACAATTACTGACAGTTGTTTCTACCACTGTTTATCATAGAATCTCTTCCTTTGATTTTGGCATTTTAGAGAACTGGATTTCATCAACCTCCTGTCCTTTGACTTCCATGGGTCTTGGGAAAAGCCCCTTGTCACTGGCCACAACAGTCCTCTGAGAAAGGGGCAGTTGGACAGAAGCCCAAGCTCTTACTACAATGTGGTGAGTGGTGCAGGGGACCCACAGGGCACTGGCTGGGGAGGGGCTAGGAGAGTCCAGTCCCACTAGAGTTACTTCTCTCTTGCACTAAGCAGGAGCTACGTGCCCAAGAGGGACTTGAGTAACCCCAGGCGCTAGCGAGTACAGGTGAAATGCTTTGACCAGGCATCAATAAAATGTCACCTGGAAAACATCAGAAGACCTGGTAGTTGACGTCCTTAAGCTCTGTCTCTGGACCAGGGTGTCCCCCATCCAAGTCTTCTGAATTGTCCATCTTCCATACATTTGCTGGCACCCACACAGGTGTTTAGAACTTGTACTGTCTTGTGTCCATCCATATTCCCTATTTAAATTGATCTTCAAAACAACCCATGAGGTTGGCTGGGCAGGAAGCATCATTCCCACTTCACGGAAGATGAAACAAGCTCGGTAGAGTCCACGACTGTTCAAGGTCATGTGATGTGAAGTTCCTGAAAGGTGGTGGGAAATGGAAAATCCAAGAAAAAACATGTTGTTGATATTGTTCTGGTACATGTATACAGATATGTATTCCTAATATTTTGGGAGAAAAAAGTATTATCTGGGTTGCTTGTTTCCAGGCCTTCACATTTGAAGTTACAAAACTGGTTAGCTCAAAGCTATTTTCTAGTTTGGGGTTTTCTAGGACTCCACATGGCTGAGCTATTCAGCCACCCTCATGCCTTCTCACTAGAATTTCTGTAAGGATGAGGAGACATAGCCTCATCTCCTCTAACCCCCTGTTTTGTTCTGGAAGGCAGGAAGGTCAAAGCTAGCCTCTTACCTCCCAACCTGTCCCCCTGGGTCCAAGGCCATTTTGAGGCCTTGCAGACTAGGATTCTGACAGCCACTTTCATCAGTAAGCACAATCAGCCATAGCATAGACAAATTCCATAAGCAATTGACTTAAAGGAGAAAGAAAGGTGACAACTTTGATTTCATGTTTTCTAGATCTCTTGCCTGATTTCTTTTGTGATCCATTGTCCAGTTTCTTTCACAACTTAGAAAAAGCTGAATGAGTCTCTTATTGCTGAAGGGCACTAAGTGCATAGAACAAACACTTGGGTCCCGGTAGGACTGTCCACACTCAGATGCAGAAAAGAAATCAAGTCACCTCTCTGCAGTTTGGGATGAAGGCTAAAAAGGCTAGACACCTTTCCTTCCCTATTCCTTGGGACTCAGTCTGTCTTCCCTTTCTAGGAGTACGCTGTGGAGTACTGGATACATAAAGGAATGCCCCCAGAGAAGGTGGTCATGGGCATCCCCATGTATGGACGCTCCTTCACACTGGCCTCTGCAGAATCTGCTGTGAGGGCCCCTGCCTCTGGTCCTGGAGCTGCTGGCCCCCTGACCAAATCTCCAGGCTTCCTGGCCTATTATGAGGTACCTGGAACTTCCCTGTGCCCTCAGCTGCCTGCCATGTCTGGGTCGGGGTTTCAGCATCAATTTGACCATAGTAGAGCATGTTCTGTGCTGTGAAGGTGGAAGCACAGAGTACTACTGGAACTCCTAACCAGGGCGTGGGTCAGAGAACACTTCCTGGAGGGAGTGAGATAGGTGAACTCTGAAGAGGAGATGGAGCTAGCCAGGAATGAGGATGGTAGTGGAGGGAATGGGAGATTGAAAAAGGGAGAGTGCCCCAGCTTCTTGACCTGAGCAACTAAGTAGGATGGCAATGCCACTTACTGAGATAGGGAAGACAGGAGGGGGAGCACAGTGGGCACTGGTCCTGCTCATGAGATCAGTTTTGGACTTTCTAAGTATGAGGAGCCTTTGGGACATACAGATAACAAGCAAGACATTGAATGTATGGGTTTGGATCACAGGAGGCCAGTCTACATTAGAGAGGTAGATTTGAAAATTTCAGCATGAAGATGGTATTTGAAGGCAAAGTGTATGGTGAGAGGTGAATAGGGCCCAAGACAAAACCAAGGACCTCCTGCACCTGAGGGGCGTGCAGAGGAACAGGAGCTCATTAAGGAAACTGATAAGGAATGACAGAGGGGTGGAAGGAGCCTGTACAATTCTGTGCCAAAGAGCTTAGAGAAGTAGGAGTTTCAAAAAAGAGGGAGTGGTCAAATGTGTCATATTCTGCCCAGAAGTTACATAGATCACAGGGCTAACAATTAAAGTTGTTCAGCTGATTAAACCATCATTTCTGTCTGCCCCTTAATCTAGGGAATTTTTTTCAAAGCATAGGGGAAACTAGAAACCTGACAATAGCTCAACCAATAGAAGCTCTTGGGACACTCCCATATTTCAAATGGTAGGTACTATGAGAGCTAGAAATAAGTGATTTTCCATCCTTGTCTCAAAGGGCTTATTGTCAATGTAGAAAGGATGTATAACTAGTTAGATGAGAGTTTAAAAACAAGACAACTATAACATTTAATAAAATCGCAGAAGTATTGGAAAACAAGGTGTGATCAAGTGACCAATGAGTGGTATAGAGGGACACGGGATCAGAGATGGGTGACTGCGGAAGAATCCAGGGAAAAGGAAATATTTGTGCTGGGCTCTGAAGGATGAATAGGCATTTGATCAGGTCAAGAAAATAATATCATCCTATATCCCAGTCTCCCATGTGGAGTCATAGCCTGACCTCTCACGGTGGGTGTGGGCATGCCCTGAGCTCATTCTGGGTGACTTGGTGCCCACCGAGGTATCTGATCAGTGTAATGCTCAACTTTCCCCTCCCCTCACACACAGAAATGATTGACACACCATCAATTCAGTTAGCAAGAAGAAAGGTATACAGGTCACTAGGAGAGTCCTCATTGAATCTCAGAGTGCCTGACATACTGGAGCAGGGAGAGAAGCTGACCCATCTTTGGGTAGTTCTAGGTCAGTAGTAAGGGACAAGAGAGATCGTTGCTCAGAACCTGCTGGTAGGATTTTAACACGAACCACTGGATATGCACTTTCCCATCTCATGGAAAGTTTAACTTGATTGTTCAGTTTGTTCGTCTCCCTAGGTCATTATAACTTTCACAAGTTGATATTTGCTTGAATGTTCAACTTTTATTTTCTGGCTCCTTTGAAGTAAGCATGAGTGTAGATCATCCAAAAACAGTAAATAATACAAAATGAATTTTCTGTGTGATGTTGAAATGCATTTTTTCACTGAAGATTTGTCCTTTTAACAACTCTTACTTATGCTAACAGAAAGAGAAAGCAGCTGATTATAGAAGGGGGCATCCCAGGGCAGGACACATTGGGAATGGGAGGCACAGAGGGGGAGTAATGGGACCGAAGTGGGGATGAGCTACTAGCTGGGGAAAGATGGTGATGGTCATATTTCATGTTTGTAGAGCACCTTCCTGTTTTCAAAATAACTTTTAACATATATTATTTTATTCTAACAATAACACTGTAAGATAGGGATGAGGGAAGCATTATTATAGTTATTTCCATTTTGCAAATGAAGAAATGAGAAGCTTTATTGGCCAGTACTGGCACAAGATCTGGAACTCAAGTCTTTTCTGACTTCTAGCTGCTGGCGGCTCCTCCTGAGGAAGCCTTAGCACAAGCAGTTTCTGGTTACTCACCTTGGGCCACCCACTCTGCACAATGTACTGGGTCATTTCTCTCATTGTCTGATCCTTGGGATAAGGGTTCTGATATTTCCCCCAAACCCCTAGTGGCTCACCAGTCCTGTCTACTCATTAGGTTTCAAGAAGAGCCCATCACTGACCCTTTTGCTCCTCTTTCCCCCACCAGATCTGCCAGTTCCTGCAACAAGCCAAGATCACGAGGCTCCAGGACCAGGAGGTTCCCTATGCAGTCAAGGGGAACCAGTGGGTGGGCTATGATGACGTGGAGAGTGTGGAGGCCAAGGTAGGTAGGCAAGAGGCTCCAGGACAAGGGGATACTTCTTCGGGTAGGGAATGGGGGTTATGTGGTAAAATACTCTATGTTGAAAGAGAGAAGCTCCTGGGTCTCTGACTCTACGATGGGATCCAGTGGCCTCTGTAACCCAAGTCTAGTAGTGACTCTAAGCCACACCTGTGAGCACCTGTGGCACAGACAGGAGAGGTGGAAAAGATGCAAGAAAGAATTGAGAATAAGTGAAGTGAGGAGTGGAGGGAAGGGAGGACCGAGAAGAAGAGAGAGGGAATAAAGGAGACATTGGTGCCTATATAGGTTATCCACCTTGTCCATTGAAGGACAATCTCAGGACAAACGCTTCAGTTCTCATCATGGATTAGCTATCTAGGAGGTACCAGATTTCTGAGCCTACCAGTTCTTAGACCTTGGCAAGACATCTGCGTGCCCTTGAGGATGAGTACAGGAAGGAGGCATAGGTATAATTTACAACCCAGGCCACTTCTCTTGCTAAGGGTTTCCTAGTTTCTTCCCTTATCCTGGAGTATTTTTATAGCCTCCATGAATGCTGGATTTCAAATGTGATGACTCCATGAGCTAGAATGAGAAGTAGCTAATGGCAAGTGGCCCTCTCTATCCCTGAGCAACCTTTTCCTTCAGGGAGTCTCCATAAAACCAGTACGTCTGCTGCTGTAGTCTAAGCTCAAACCTTCACCTGAACTTGACTTGGTCATCGGCATGTAAGGTCCTCTTCTAATCCCTGTGTGTACCTCCGTGTCTCCCACAGGCTCAGTTCCTAAAGAATTTAAACCTGGGAGGGGCCATGATCTGGTCCCTTGACATGGATGACTTCACTGGCAAATCCTGCAGCCAGGGTCCCTACCCGCTTGTCCAAGCTGTCAAGAGAAACCTTGGCTCCCTATGAAGGTATCAGAGTCCAAGGCTGGGGCTGGGAGTGGGCAGAGACCTGGGCACAGCAGGGCACAGGAGACTGGGGAGATCACCTTTACATATTTGAACTGATCCTTTCTCATGCTCCTTTGGATCTTCTGTCATGTTTTCTTGGCTGATTCTGCCCTTTTGGTAGGCTACCCACAGACTTTCAAAATAGTATTAATATTAATAAATTTTGGCTACCATTTATTGAACACAGTATGAGCTAAGGGCTTTCTTTACATGTATAGTGGGAATAAATACTAATTCCAACACAATTCTTGGTTGCATAAGCATCAGCCTGTTTTAATTTTCTGAATCGCAATAAATCTGATTCTATGTCCTCAAGCCACTAGACTAATGAGAAATCCAATCTCAGTGATTACCTAATGCTCTCTTGTTAAGTTACCTACAGTCAATCTTACTTAGTCTAGACATTTGGGAGATCCCAAGGTCATTATAGATATGCTCTTGCTCAAGCCTCCCTATTATCTTTTTATATATTTATTTATTTGAGACAGAGTCTTGCTTTGTTGCCCAGGCTAGAGTGAGTGCCATGGCGTCAGCCTAGCTCATAGCAACCTCAAACTCCTGGGCTCAAGCAATCCTCCTGCCTCAGCCTCCCGGGTAGCTGGGACTACAGGCATGCGCCACCATGCCCGGCTAATTTTTTCTATATATATTAGTTGGCCAATTAATTTCTTTCTATTTATAGTAGAGACGGGGGTCTCGCTCTTGCTCAGGCTGGTTTTGAACTCCTGACATCAAGTAATCCGCCCGCCTCGGTCTCTCAGAGTGCTAGGATTATAGGCGTGAGCCACCTCGCCCGGCTTCCCTATTATCTTAAAGGCCAGTAGCTTTGCTGCTGCTCCATACCTGGACCCCAAGGTCCCTAGGTACAATGTAAATCCTCATGTGCAGGTGAAGGCTGTTGTTGACCAATCAGCCATGCTGCAGCCCATAGGTTCTAGAACAGGGGATGGAGGAGAAGGGGACTGGGGCTCACTGAAGACAGACAACTGAAGAGGACTGGCTGTGCTATCCTGGAGAAGAGCCGAGAACTGTTTGAAAATGCCTGGCCCGATGATTGAGTAGCAACCCTTCAGCTCTGAGCATCCATGCTTAGTAGCTTGAATCAGGCCTCAGTTTACTGAATTGGGCTTTAAAATACTCTTCCTTTTGTTTCCAGGCTTAACTTACCATGGAACAGGCAAGGTGACCTTGCTGCCTGGGGCCTGCTCCGTCTCCGGGAATCCTTGCATGGGACTCTTGTGCCAGGCTGGCCTTCAGATCGCTCTTTTCCAAGCCTTCTCGGACTTTCTCTGAGACCTTGCATTGGGCTTGGCTTTGTTTTCCCGCAACTGTTGACATATTGCCCTGAAGCACAATAAAAAACAACTCTCATTTTGCTCCAGCAAGTGTGTCCTCATTTGTACAGTCATTGAGCCTGTGGTATCAGGCTGTCTTTCTTCTCCTACTATTTGTGGGGTCCAGGGACAGGGTACAAATGGAGACCCGAATGACATATGTTTATATATCAAAAAGAGCTAAGAGGCCGGGCGCTGTGGCTCACGCCTGTAATCCTAGCTCTTGGGAGGCCGAGGCGGGCGGATTGCTCAAGGTCAGGAGTTCAAAACCAGGGCTAATTTTTTCTATATATATTAGTTGGCCAATTAATTTCTTTCTTTTTAAGTAGAGAGCGGGGTCTCGCTCTTGCTCAGGCTGGTTTTGAACTCCTGACATCAAGTAATCCGCCCGCCTCGGTCTCTCAGAGTGCTAGGATTATAGGCGTGAGCCACCTCACCCGGCTTCCCTATTATCTTAAAGGCCAGTAGCTTTGCTGCTGCTCCATACCTGGACCCCAAGGTCCCTAGGTACAATGTAAATCCTCATGTGCAGGTGAAGGCTGTTTGTTGACCAATCAGCCATGCTGCAGCCATAGGTTCTAGAACAGGGGATGGAGGAGAAGGGGACTGGGGCTCACTGAAGACAGACAACTGAAGAGGACTGGCTGTGCTATCCTGGAGAAGAGCCGAGAACTAGTTTGAAATGCCTGGCCCGATGATTGGGTAGCAACCCTTCAGCTCTGAGCATCCATGGTTAGTAGCTTGAATCAGGCCTCAGTTTACTGAATTGGGCTTTAAAATACTCTTCCTTTTGTTTCCAGGCTTAACTTACCATGGAACAGGCAAGGTGACCTTGCTGCCTGGGCCTGCTCCGTCTCCGGAATCCTTGCATGGGACTCTTGTGCCAGGCTGGCCTTCAGATTT